AAAATATATTTATTCCCTGGGAACAGGTTCAGTTTTTCCTTTATCACCAAGCTATAACATATCCAAAAGCAGTGTTCAAAATTTCTCAGTTTTACTGCCATGGGTAAAATTAGCCTGTCTATCTCCATGATGAGGGTGCATCAAACACTAGCAACTTGACACTCAAAAACGGCCAGTAATTTTTACAATGGTTGTGGATATGATATGCTCTGGTGATTAAGGAAAAGTTGTTAAAATTTCTAAGAAAGTTTAATTTTTGTTTTAAATTGCTCTGCTACTCTTTCTTTGTCTTAAAGATTATGAGGTAATTGGTACACTTAAAAAGTAAAGAATAGAGGAGTAGATGTAACTGTTTAAAAAAAGAATTATAACATTTATATGCAAAGCTACTCTTCTGTAGATTGATTTATCTGTTCTTCATTTTTATTTGTATTGTGGCACGTTTCATTGAGCTTGATAATGTGGTTCAGAAACATGAAAACATGCCATGTTGAACTAAAAAGACTTGCAGAATACTCATATATAGAAGGCAGGGTGTGTTTTACATTCATTTCTCCTAAATTGCATCATGAAGCATTTCATATTTCAATAAATAATAGCAGAAAACTTGTGATAAATATGGTTGTGATATTTTCAGTGACCACAGTGCTGGACAGCTCTTACCCTGTGTGGACAACTGGACGAGGGACTGGACAGCCATTTGTTATCACGGCCACCATCAGGTATCCAAGGGAAACATTGTTATATCCTTTACACTGTGATATTATTTGGAACAAGCTGTCTGATTACAATATTGAAATACATATATGTTCAAATATTATCTTTGAAAGTTTTCCCAATGAAAATGAATATTATATGGTATTCCCTAACCTTCGAGAAGTCCTTGACATACATCTGTTATTCTGTTTCCCTAAATCATATTGTCTGCTAGCAAGCAAGACTGTAATCAAAGTTATTTATTTATTTATTTATTTATTCTGGTACGAGTACATTTTTCACAATGACAATGACCTAACTAAATGTATTAAAACTAATGTACCAAAAAAACACATTAACATTTTATTACACTTCATTTAATCAGCTCTGAACCTTGAACATTTATGTTTGCCTTAACTCAGTGTTACCTATATTCCTGGCTTCTGGCAGCTGATCAAGTGGGCGTGGGTGCAGTACGTGGCCATACTGATCATATTTGTGGCCGCCTTTGACAGGATAAAGACATTCATTTTTCAGAATCAGTTGGTTCCTACAATAGTGGACAGACCTTTCAAATTAAACAGATCATGATGATGTACTTACATTTTATTTATTTGTATCGATTCATTTTTCTAAAATATTTGTGTAAGCTTGTAATTTTTTAAGTCAATTGATGTAAGCTAATTTTGTACTTGTTTTAAACAGTAAGCTACACAGTTCAAACTTCTTTTAAATGATAGCTGTTTTTATTGCCACTTAGCAATCTTTTGTGCAGTAAGGACACTTAAAAAAACTCCAAACTGTTATATTAATAAGTAAATGAAACAGGTTGAAATTTGATTGAATAAAGTTATAATAAGTCCTTGTGCTTACCTTTATTTACTATTATTACTTTGATGATAATATTGTTTTTAACACCATGCTGTGTAAGATAGCAGGGTTTTTGAATAGACTTTTCTAATTTTTTAAATTGGGAATTTTTTTTTTCATTTCTATCAGTTAGATACGTACTCCCTGTATATTGATCTGCATTTTAGAATATTAACATCTCTGATTGTGGAGATATAATGTGGTGATTATCCATATATTTAAACATTTCTTGTTGGACAAATCTAAAAACGAATCCATAATAGACATGTACATATTTGTCCAATTAATGATCTCAAGATTTTAAATTAAATATCTTCCATTTAAATGATGTATATATTTGTATATTTTGTATGATATGTTAATATTGTCAAGTGCTTTTATTAACTATTGTAAGATAATGTAATAAAAAGAACCATCTTAATTCTTGTGCTTGTTTTTTAAACTGATGCTGTGTGCGTCTCTATATATTCTGTGTCTGTTCTGCCATCACTATGTGACACATCAGTCCCACTTCAAACTATCCAATTTTATATACAGACATCTCCACGAGTTCAATACTTTGTAACGCGACTGTTCTCTGAATTATTTCAAATTGACATTGTTTTGAGACAGAAAAGGTTTATTCAAAATTAAGAACTATTACTGTTGAAGTGGAGGTTATAAAAATCAACAAATATGTAAGAATTTTAATTTAGCGTTACTAACACCCAATAAATTACAAGATATTGCATTTTATTTTCAAGAACAAATAAAAATTGTGTCCCTGCAACATTTATTGGGAAGTGTTTTGAAGAAGACCGTAACAACTTCAATGAGGTGTTGGAAGACAGCTCTTGTTGTCAGGCTGAAGCCATTAGCCCCATCTATCGAGAACACTGCAACACTTCACAACACTGACCGGGTGGCTTCACCGTTCGACAACCATAAGGCACTACATACCATGTGGAACACCTTAAAACATAAAATATATAATGAATGAACAACAATACATTAAAACATTAAAAAATGTAAGTCATAACAATCTGTATGATAGATTTGTTATTGCAGCTTTGATATTGCCTTTTTTAGATTTCAAAGGACCAAATGTGGCGTAAACAAAGAAATAACAATGTGGGTTATCAGTTTGTGCCCCCATTCTGAAAAAGAGACGACACTGCTCCATGCTGCTTTCCAAGGAAATGTAGCTTATTAAAAGTATGATCACATCTTTAATACAAAATTTTGCAACGTTTTTCCTGGCTTTAACAATTAACATTTTAACATTTACAAAAAGATACCGATTATGAAGAAGTAAATCAGGGAGTAGACAGGATGGAGTTGCCTCTGTTTGATATTCAAAACTCTATTAAAATCAAAACGGCATGTGCTTGGTGGCACGCGTTAAAATTTATTACAGGTAGCGAATACATGGACGCATTATTGGCTCCATATTTTCTCCTGAAACGGATTTTGGGCGTGCTATTGCTGAGGCTTACTATTCCCAATGTAAATTTTACTTTATCGATTATTTCAAAACACTGTATACAAGTGCGTTCCTTTTTCTTCTTTTTTTACTCATTTCTTCCTGTCTACTTCTTGTCACAATGAAACAGTTCATCAACATGAATTTGTCTTCTTTCTGCTAATGCAGACAAAGTCTTTTAAACGCGATGTCTTGGAGCTTTTAAGTGAAAAAACACTACACCCGTTTCAATGTGACATCAGTAATCTGTATACAATTACACCCCATTTCCATAGATTTTTAGATCGATCTATCCCTGTGGGGAGTCTCACTAGATTACTGTCAGCTTGGCCGGCTTAAGCGTCTGTCCCGCCTACTAAAAGCTGTAAGGGGGTAATTAACTATGGTGCCCCCTCGGCTGACTGCAATTTAGCGTGAACCCCCAGGGAGTTAGGTCGATCTAAAACTTAATCTTTAGATCGATCTAAATCTCTGGGAAAGCACCCTTAATTTAATTTCAAACTACTGCCATCTGACACGCTCACATGGTACCCATGTTGGACCAGTGTGCGCTACAGATTTGATCCCAGTTGGGTTGACCATTGCAATTTCTGAATTGGGTTTTTCCCATACGATTGGTCCCACTAGGCTGGCTAGACTGTCGGGTAGAACCTAGGTCCTTAATAGCTCAACCCACAGCCAAAACCAACCTCACAGGCGACGAGGGTCCCTACCATTAGTGGGCAGTATTTGGTCCCTGAATGATGATTAAATTACCCCAAAAAGGACCAACTGGAACCAATTTCCAACCCATGGCCAAAAGGACCAGAAAACCCCAGGATTTACCCACGTGGGCCCTAGTTGGATGTGCTGACTGGGAACGGGAACATACTTAGCCTGGCATTGCCAGCCTCTTGAATCACACTGGCAGTTATAAAGACAGCCGTCGGACCAACGCTCTCCTTGTTTCCTGCATTCCATCATCCCAGTCGATTTACTTCTGTACGTGCAGTCGCCATCTGGAGTAATACAATACAATACAATACAATACAATACAATACAATAATACAATACAATACAATACAATACGATGCGACACGAATAGAATTAAATACTAAAACAGAATAAAATAGAATATTACGTATTGGGCAACAAACTCTAGGGAGAGGGTTTCGAGTCAATATTAAAAGTGTAATGTCCATTGGCAGTGATATATACATAGTGAAGGGATATTTCATACATATATATATATCATTTATCATCTATTTATATATCAATATCCTATTAAAATCTGTTTTAACTCTCACTGAAGACATTTTCGTGTGATATCTACTTTTGAGTCAAAAGTTATCTTGGGGTGAAGTAAAAACAGTTTACAGAGTGGTGGGTGAAAGTTAACGTGAGTTTCATTATCAGTCTTTCCGATACTCGACTCCATCACCAGCGTCGTCCCCCAAATTTCAAACAGACATAGAAAAGGGCGGCACTCTCCGAGAAAAATTTGAAATTTATTTTAGAAGGATTTTTATCAGGTCTTAGTCTCTTTTCTTTTTCTTTCCCCAGCCCATCAAAATTCCTTTATTCGACCATATCCTGGGCGGAGGACAGTCACCGTCTGTACTATAAAACTTAGCCTCAGGATGACAAAATTGGACTTACCGCCACAGATAGTATTTCCACATTTCACCTTCTTGCAGCAGCCGCCGTTAGGGTCGTCCACCACTTGGCACCCAGCGGGGGCGGTCACAATGGGGCACCTGGGAGGGAGAAAGATAGTTATATAACTTGACTCCACCCTGAATTCTAGTGGCACGCTCTTTTAAAGGAACAGTCTGCCTTTGCGTATTTCTATGGCCACTATCAAGTCTTCCCTTCCAGACACACACACACGCGCGCGCACGCGCGCACACGCACACACACACGGTTTACAGGCGACCTGTAAATAATGACTCACAAACCCCAGCCCCACTTGTACCAGTAGTAATTCGTTGAAACAAACAAGACCCCTTTATTTCCAAGTTCCCTTACTTGTACTGACACGACCATGTCCGACCGTTGCACTGACAGTCAAGGAGACACCCATCCGACCATCTCTCCCCACTCCTCCTGCACGAGGTTCGCCCTGTAGTCCGGCTCGTGTATTGGCAACCGGACGTGCCTGGAAATCATGAGTGAAGAAAGATCTACACAAAAACCCGAATTTTTATGCTCGTTTTCATTTCGTTTTCGTATTTTCCCTCTGCTACAGTGTAAGTATCTCACCTATTTTTGCGCTAATTTTTCAGCTTCTTTCTGTCCGACTGTAGACATTTTTGGTGCGTGTGCATGTTCTACCATCCCAATTTTTATATTGTTTTTACAATTTATACCCTTATATTCTACATATAGCTAATGATAGCCGTACTATAAGTATCACTATATAATCACTATATAAAGATAAAATTGCGTCTGCTTTCCTTTCATAACGAAACACGATCTTATTTATAAACGATGGAAACCAGCTCATAGCAGTAATAACGAACCCTTGTTGCAGTATTGTGTAATTTGAATAAAACACGATCTTCGTCTTTCGAGTCCCTTCCAATGGGCGTTGAAATGTGAATACTTCCAACAAATTCCATTGTGAATGTTAGCGTTCTGGTAAACAGAAATTTATAAAATTCTCAAGTTATCTACATGAATAGAAAAATAAATAGATAAAATATTGTTTTCTGGCCGTCTTCATCGTCGTCTTCAGTTCGTCTGCTTTTGGCGACGGCCTCTAGCCAGCCAGTTCACGTCCATTCACCACCTCCTCTCCATAATCCATCTCCATTTGTAGGCCTAATTTTTCATAAAAATAACTGAAAACTTCTGTATCAGTTGCAAACTTCATGACATTTTACTTACAAAACTGAGCATCGGCTCTCCTTACAATCGTCAATGCCAGAAGCAGAGCGATGGATACTGCCATAAATGAACACATGCTGAATGCAAGCTTCTAGGCTTCCAAAAACCGAATGACACTAGGTTCGTTCTAAGATATATGCCACTATAGGCTACTCCCACATTTTGAGGAGCTTTAACACAAAGCAGATCAAAAATCATTATAATAGAATAATGCGTGTACGAATTGAAATTCATCATAAGTGGGAAATTATTTTATTAAGTCCGTAAACGAAAATAAGCTGATCGAGCTTATTTCATCTAGTTTAGATGTTTAGATGTACCACTGGAGCACAAAAACAATTTCCGGTCCAGTTTAAAAGCAATGAGCATAATGCCATAATGAGTAGAGGTGTCATTACTGAAACTGGGCATTCTTTTTGAATGCTATTTTCCAATTCTATTTCTTAATCATGTCATTGCCGAGTGCCACATCCGTGCAAACAGTGTAAAGGAAATGAGGGTATATTTTTCCACCTTCCTTTCCTTTTTGTAGGCCCTACCTATCGGAACTATTGGATATTCACAGACAAATTTGCATTCAAAAGTCTTAATTCACAAATTGTGACATTTACAGAGTGTATTAGAAACAGCAGTTTTTACATGTAAGACATTTTAACTGTGCCATTTAAAATGAATAAATAATAAAACAATTTACATCTACTGGTATATGGTAATTTGAGGAATCGTATTTTAACATTGTAGTTGCAACTGTTTAGCAACCACCAGGGGCGGATCCAGAGATATTTTCTGACAGTCGTCCAAATTATCTTTGTTGATCCATCCTCCACCACCCCCACCCCGCACGCGCTCACACACGCACACACACACACACACACACACAAATACGTTTGGAATTACTTACTAGTATATGCAAATTTATTATGGGCCTTGTACAGGTTGTGATTAAAAAGGGCACGAAAGCTGCTGCGTAAACTACAGAGGAACTGTTATATTGACAACAGCAATCGCTTCCTTATATCCTGACACATTGCTGGCATTAACTAGTAGCTGCAACTATACTAACGACAATCGGTGTGCGCCAGGGATCCAGCATCCTTTTTTCTTTTTTTTAATTCCTTCGTGGAATCCATGCTGTATTGTTAATGGGTTATTCTAAAATAACTTTATTTCTAAGCTTATAAGAGGCTGGCGTGGGTGGGAGGGTCGGGGAGGGGGGGAAGGCTGTAGGAACTAACCGGATAAAATTTTTAAAATTTGAAGCAAAGTGGTGAATTTTGGTAGCATTTCAACAACAAAAAAACTGCACTATCAAGTCCAGATAACCTGTCTTTAACGACTGAGAAAACAGTAGTAAAGTAAAAAAAATGGTAACTACACGTACATTATAAGTTAAATAGTATTAATAAGAATACTACACTTTTTAATTCTTTAAAGTTATAAATAAAAAGACATAAGAAAAGAAAAAACAGATTTATCATCCCTGCTAATTGTTAAATACGTTTATTTTCATTCATTTTAGGCTACCTACCGGTCAGCCCGGACTTTTTACGATCCCATGAAACAAAATATCCACTTTATTACATATACAGACGAATTAATAACTGTAGCCCACAACAGCTCAGAACGATTAATTTAATATCTTCTAAAACACCAATTTTAATAAATTTTTAAAAAATCAAGAAGTGAATGATTCTAGTTCGAGTTTTCCTTATTCCCGCAAGATATGCAATTTACAGTTTCAATAAAATAAAAACCCGATGCTTATTGATTTAAACATTTAAATACAATTTGGTTATAAAAACCACGCTGCTTTTGTATATGCAGAGATTAAGTGACCATTTTTAAAAATCAGAAAATCATGTGCGTATAATTCTGATAATAAATATATTGTAAATTGTTTTGATAATTTAGTAACCAAAAAGATGAATGATTTTTAAAGCTTTAAGTCCTTTCTCCTAAAGGCTTTACTTACTTAGTGTAATCTTATTTTCAGAGGTTGGTGTGGGTGGGAGGGTCGGGAAAGGCGGGGGGGGGGGGGGGGGGGGGGTTCGGGGGGTTCGAAAGAACCACCCTTTTTGCTGGGAAAAGGTCCACTCTGGGTAAAATTAGATCTA